GGTGTCATGCTGTTATGCCCGGTTCCAGCCACGTTTCTCACCACGGGAAAAACGCAGTGAGGCCTTTGCTTTCTACGACCAGGGCGGTGGAGCCAGTTTCAAAAACATTAAACACTGCTTAGTCACACAAGTTTTCTCTTCTTTCTGTTTTCTGCTTCTTTGATTCAACAATAGTTCCTAAACGGGAGCAATCATTATTTGTCACATCTTGCACAACAATGCTTTTGGAAAGAAGGATCTTAATTCACGAGACACCTTTCTTATTTTTCCCAAATGGCATTAAGGTCATGTTGCAGCACTATTGATTTCCAAGCGCTCATTATCTGTCTTCTCTGCAAGGGTAAGCTATTAAAGGTAGTGAGGATAAAAATCATTCCTAACTAATTAGCTCATGCTGGAGCTACCTGCCAATTCCTGGAACAAGTTCAAGCCGGAGAGCCAGTTACCACACTGCCATTGCAGTCAATGTTAAAAAACACCTTTTTTTTTTCTGGTCACCCACTAACTGTATATTTTATCCCCCAAGTTTCTTGAGATTTGCAAGCAGTTTGAGATGGTAGAACCAAGGCCCCATGGACACTTTCGCAGCACTTACCATAGGACAGGATCTGGGATGGGCAGGGGGAAGGGGCTGGTGGGAGGGCCGGGATAGGCAGGGCCATAGCATTTGCTACCACAACTGGACACAAACGAAGGCCCAAGTGTGCATACACAGTGGTGAAGTTTCATGAAGTTCAGCATCAGCCTTTGTTCATAACCTAAGTCTAAATAATAGCAAAAAATTAAAACAGAACCATCACCACTATGATAAATAGAACTCTATATGTAGCTACAGGTTCACAGTATTTCCCCTAAGGGGTAAGGCAACAAGGAGTAATTGAGATCATAGACTCTAGTTAACAGAGATGTAAATTTGAATTCCGACTTTGCCATTTTACTGTTTGAGCTTGGAAAAGTTATTAAAACTAATTGAACCTTAATTCTCTTCTTTGCAAAGATCAAATGCAAGCACCTACCTCATGGGGTTGTTCCCAAAAATCGAGACTGTGCTCAGTGAGCTCAGTGAGTGGCAGGCACATAGTAGGTGCTCAGAAAACGGCAGCCACTATTACTACTACTTCATTATGCCAAAGGGCAGCTCATTACAGCCAACCCTGGAACAACGTGAATTGGGTAGGACTGCATGGATCCTTTTTCAATAAATACAGTCAGCCCTTCCCCTTGGTATTCACAGGTTACTTATCTGCGGGTTTTGCATCCACAGATTCAACCAACCAGGGACCAAAAACAGTGTTTTTGCATTCCCAGCCACAGATCCAAAATGACAGTTTTGGACCCTGGTTGGTTGAATCCACAGATGCAAAGGGCTGTCTGTAGTCAGAAGTTTGGTGAATTTTCAACCGCATGTGGATCGGGACCTCTAACCCTCACACTGTTCAAGGGTCGACTGTACTTGTTTAGAAATTAAGTGCTGATGCCTCACACAAGGACCTTGGAGGATCAACCCAATCAGATTCTTGCCCATCAGAACAAGAGCCTTTGGCTAAAATTCTAGATACAGCTTGTCCTGGCCCAGTGACTGCCCGCTCTCACAGCATAAAATTACACTGCCCTCCTGGCCAACTGTCAGGTGTAAAACTCCACACAGCCTGCTGAACAAAAGCAACCGGATCAGGTTCTTCTGGTTGGTTTCCCTTTCCCGCCAGCTGTCAGCTTTCGAAAAAGAAAACAGGCAGAAAGATGGGCGTGTCATCTACACTCCCCAAGTTGGGCTGCATTTATTTAATTTACCCACTAGGTTCTTCTCTGCGGGTGACCCATTTCTTAACCATACTTGCCTCTCCTGATACATAAAAGCCTCAGAGGTCTTCCTTTGAGAGCAAGGACACAGAATGCAGCAAGAGGTGAAAAAGGAAGGCGTTACAAAAATCAAAGGTGAAATAGAGATAAGAGTAAATGAGTGCAATAGACAAATCCTCGAAAACAGAGGGTGTGGCAAAGAGGGGGACATTGTGTGGAAATCAAGAGGCCCTCCTCCTCTCAAGAGTTTAATAGTTTGTGGAAACTAGCTTTACCTTGAGGACAGCTGGCTAGTAACCCCAGTTACAATAAGGGAGTTACCATGAGACCACTGCTAACCTTACTGTTAAGCGAGCCGAACTCACAAATTAAAATATCCCCCACCCATTACATAACTCAAGGGTGTATGTGTAATGGCACAGGTAAGAAAGCTTTCAGGTGTCTGCCAAAGAACTAGCGTGTATCCTCATTCCTGATAAACACCACCCTTGCGATCAAACACTGCTGGCTCTAACATAGGAACTCTAGTGCTTCTCGCAACACCACTGTAACATCAGGACCTGCAATAATAACTGCCACCCACTTCATGAGACCTTGTTTAACGTATCCCAATTAATCCTCACTCTAAGCCTGCGTGAGGTCAGACTGCCCCATTTTAGAGATGAAGGACCTGAGGCCAGTGAGGTTGTCGTTTATGCAAAGCCACAGGGCAAGGCTGGGATTTAAATCTTTGTTGGGCAGGTTCCAACAGCCGGGCTCTGCTGACTCATCAATTTGAACCCTGAGTGCTATTTTAAAGGGTGTGTGCACTTGCTCTCTGCTTTCCCTAGTTCCTTAAAATTATTTCATTCTGCACTGTTCTACTTATTAATTTATTTTAAGACTTAAGTTGGTTCCCTTAAATTGGCTTCATATTAGTATTGTGTTGGTAATTGTTTAAGCTAGATGACAGGTATGGCGGTCCATTATACAACTCAACTTGTATTTTTTGATTTGTCATAACAAAGTTTTAGGTTTTTGAAAATATTTTAGTTGGCTCTTTGGAGGTAAGTCAACACTAATTGCCGCAGTGAGATTTCAGCTCTCTACAGACGTCATGGAGCTGCAGTGTCCCTCGCCGCCTCCCGTTAATCGGCTGCTGCAGTCCTGTCCTCGGTCAGGCAGTGACCGTGCAGCCTTACACACACCAGCCAGCACGCCCACAGCAGGGGTGTCAGTCATTTTTAATTTTTACAAGGTCAGAACCAGCTGTTCAGAGTAACTTTCTGACAGAGAAGGAATTTTTCCCAGCCTCCACCCCATCCACTAAGCGCGTCCGTTGGGGTGTGGCTGATTTCACAGGAGAGGCAGGACTGCTCTGAAGGGCTCCTGTGAGCGACTCCACCTGGGCTCCCTCCCCTGGGATGCCGAACCAGGAAGCTTGCAGAGACACAGACTGGGTTGGCCCCGAACCATTCCTCCTGCCAGGCCAGAAAAAAAAAAAAAATCCAGGCAAATATTAGTCCTAGTTTTCTGACCTCTCCATCTTTTCATCATCAATGATTTTTGCATTTTACCCCTTCTAAATTTTGATGATTTTATCCACTTAGATGGAACTTCCTTGCTAAAGAGAGGAAATAAGGGACTATGAAAAAAGTGAGTAAGTCGTACTAATCGTTCCTTCTTCTACCTGCCTGTCACTCCCACAAGACAAACAGGCGGTGTGTCAGACCCCCTCCCTTCCCTACAGGGAGGGCCAGACTGGGGGTTGGGGGCTGTCCTGCTTCAAGGAGAGGCCAGGAACTTCTGGCACTAGCCTCACGTGGGAAAGGTAACCTTTCATGTCATTAAGTTTTCCTCATAATATCAAGCGAGGGCTCCTTGGAAAAGGCTGGCCTGTTCTGCAGCTGGGTCTGACAGGTTGGTGCTATTTCCACGGTGAAGCTGAAAGTCTGGTCCCAGCACCCTGAGGGTAAAGAGCACTGCAGTGCCACCCAGAATAAACGGTGAAAAGGAGCTTTTCCCTCCTAAAGAAGGGGAAAAACTGAATCTCAAAACCTGAAAACAAAAAGCAAAACAAAATAACCCAGGTGAATGTGAAGTACAGGAGACAGGCCAAAGGAAACAAGTAATATGGTACATAAAAGTTTCTAGAAAAATTTACACACACACTATTCTGTGCACCTCTAATCCACTAAAACCATGATTTATATGACAAAAAGAAAAAGAAAGAAAAGAAACACTGTGGAAGTTCTATTTGTTCTTCAGGGTCAAGATAGTTCTCCTTAAATAAAACCAGCATGCTTATCTATCAGCCCTTGAGTAGTGACATCATCTTTATAAAACAAAGCAGACTAGGCCAAAATCTCAAAATGGAGAAAAGAAAATGGGTACTCAGATTAGGGAGCAAGGCGTAAAACTGAAATCAAAATCCACTTACGCGCCATGTACTTACAACACAATAAATAGTTTAAAAATATACACATGTATATAAACAACTTAAAAAGTAAAGTGAATTCAGCAAGTAGATGCATCACAGTAAAAGAAGGTATTGAATTTGGTTGATTGAAAGCAGGTTTTTAAGGAGTCCAGTTGGCCAGATGCCACAACCCACAATTCACGAGTGAGAGGTGAAGGCAACGGGGTTCTGTCCACGGCAGGAGAAGGACCAGTGAATGTGCGTCCCACGGCACTGAGCTCCAAACAAGCCATAGTTTAGGTATTTCGTAGAAAGGAGCGCATTGTCAAAGCACTCAGCCACCTGCTTTCATTGGAATATGCAAGGTGATAATTAATTTAAAAAAGATATATGACTAATGTACAGGGTGACTTTATTTCATGGAGAGAAAACAAAAAACCAATAATAACATGATTTTCCTAGACACCACATAGTGACTAGCACTTTTCATTCCTCTTTTATCACATCATACCAAAAAAAAAAAAAAAAAATCAATGAAAACACACCGATATATACCCCACACTCCTTAAATTAGCAGAATTAAAATTAAAGCTTGAAGCAATATTTTGTACACTTTGATTCAAATTATATTTACAAATTAAATTGCACTTATAAAGATAGCAACATTTCTAATATGGTATAGGTTATTTTGCTTTATTATGGTTTTATATTTCAATATAAAACTTTTAAAGCTTTCTTCAGTAAAAATCATACTTTCTTTGAAGTACATAGTTTATTTACCCACTGAATTTCAAAACCAATTTTCTCTTTTTGTGCTTTTCTGTTCTATTTTACGAATGGCACATACCTTCCAAGTAGGAACAACCAGACACTGCACTGATTATACAAGACTCATTTATGAAAACTTAAAGAAATGAAATATTAGTGTCCTAATCCTTTGGTTTATCTTTTAAAAAATACATCCAACATAATTTACAAATCAGTGGTAACTCTTCTTTTTGGTTAAAAACAAATTCCCCAGGTAGATCACTAATTAAAATCCAACACTGCTTTAAAAAGTACCACATTCCCAGTCCCGTCTCCCTGCTCAAGGATGCCACTGTGTATAGCTGGTTTGACACGACACAGGATACAGTAAGGCACAGTGTATGGTACAAATAAAAACGAACACTTCAGGATTTTTTTCTGCACAGATACTAAAATATGTACCGTTTTCAAGATAAAATAACAAAAAAGAAATACATTTTTTTGTTATGAAATACCTATACAAAATTTTAAAATTTACACCATCTGAGCTGCCAAAAAGGTTTAAAAAAGTATCAATTTTTCCCCATACATAAAACTATCTTTCATCAGTAGGTCCAAGAGAACTTGGGTTCAAAATGTCCCAGCACTCCATGGAGGAGGAGGATAAAAATTCCCCTTCTTGCTCTCCCTTACCCCAACATAAGACAAAAACAAAGGCAGATGTTTACAGTAGTGTATTCTACTTAGTACAAACTGAAGTTTAGGAAATGAAAAAAAATCACGCTGGGAGACCACTAGCTGATGGGTTAGAGTAAGGCACTTCCTTGCAGAGAGCGGCGTCCCAACACACGATGTGGGGAGACAAAGCGCGGGTTTCTGGTGAAGACAAAGGACTGCAGGAGGCTCCTCGCAGACGGGAACATCTCAACAGCAGGGGAAGACACGCGAGGTAAAACCAGGAGATGAAATCCTACACAGAAGTGGTCACTCGGTCAAGGGCATGGTTGACCTCATTTTTGTTCGAATCCAGCCCTTTAGCAGCATTCATGTCATTCCGTAAATTCTCCACTGTCTTTTTCATGTTCTTCAGTTCCCCGGGGTGTGGAGTGGCTCGCCTCAGAAGTGTTCTCTACAAACAAACGGTGCAGTGAGTGCTCTGGTTTTACTCCATATCTCTTTCAAACATGCAGCTTCGAGGTGGTAGCATTCCAATACAAATCTTAGCCTCTTATAGACAATGAGTTGGAGGGGGTGGAAAAGCTTTCTTTGGAGCTATGAGCATTTTACCAACTGCTTACTAGTAGTTAATGGAAGATGAAAGTGTTGCCTATAACTTACCTAGTCAAGATAGAGGATGACATTCAGAATAAAAGAATACTTTTAAAAATATGACATTATTGCATGGTAACAATAAAGTTCTATGAACCATGAGAAAAAAAAAATGTGTAAGATGTAATTGTGGGATGAGGGGAAAAAAAGATGAAGGGTTAAAAAATTCTAATTTGAAATCACAGTAAGTTCTATTTCCCAGAGTGGCTCTGGCTCCCTTCAACCCTTAAGGCATGGGAGTTAAAGAAAAGGGGAAGCAAGAGAAAAGGGCTTCTTTTCTTATTTTGCTGCTGTGTGTGCTATTTATGTGATCTACTAATAGAGACCACATTCTTTCTAATAGAGACCACAGAGCTAGAAGGGAAGTAAGAGGGCAGAAACAAAATTTTAAGTAGATAAAATCTGATTTGGTGACAGCTGAAATAACAGAGACTAACAGATAATAATTTAAAAACCAGCCTTTGTTTTGAGGGCTACGAGTACTCCCTCAAAGCTCTGCTTATGAAAATCTCAATTAGAAAGGAATTTAAGAAGCCAAAGTCAACTTACAGGAAGATTTCAAGAGTTGTCACTGACTCTTGGAGATTCTGGGTGGCTGACGAACACTTTGAAGTGTGGATAAAAGTAAGGCTGAGGGGTACTTTCAAATCTAGTCCTGATTTCTGAATGAAAACTCATTAAGTAATTCAACTAAGATCACAAGCGTTCTGCACAAAGGTGAAGAGCAGAAGGGTAACATAGGAAAGAGGAAGTCCAGTACTACAGAGGACAAGCTACGGCACATAATGAAATGTGAATGGAGTCAATGTGATAAGTTACAAACAGGGGTGGAAGGCGGAAAGAGACTTCATTCACTGGGAACAACAAAAAAGAACAATCAGATGGCTCCCGCAGTGTGGGGGATGACTCAGCACCAGGACGCTGGTGGCTGCTCTCCCAGTTCTCTCCCCAGACCCACCATCCCCAATCTCTCCTCAAGTGTTTCTAGTCCACTCTACTCCCAACTTTCCCGGAGCCCAAGGACAGTTCTTATATGTAAAAATGTTGATTCCCCAAACATCATATGAAAAAGCCTTTTTCAGAGTCCTGGTCAAGATGGAGGCATAGGCAGAAATGCTTTGCTTCCTTGCACAACCAAAAAAGGGATAACAACCAATTTAACAACAAAAAACAACCAGAACTGCCATAAAATCAAACCACATGTAAGTCCAACAACCAAGGAGTTAAAGAAACATTCATCTAGGTTAGTAGGAGGGGTGGAGTTGGGCAGCCGGGGCGGAGACAACGCGCTCCAGGGCAGCGGACCTCGAAGGCAGGTGGGGGCTGGTCCCACATGTGCGCGTAGATAAGCCCTCGGGAGGAACAACTGGGGAGCGAGACAGACCATGAAACCCAGGGTTTCAGCACGGGAAACTAAAGACTCAAAATCTCTGGCTGTAAAAATCTGTGGGGGTTGTGCTGGCGGGGGGAGGAAGAAACCTCCAGTCTCACAGGAGAGTCAGTTTGAGAGGCCCACGTGGTCCTAAAATGTACACAAACCCACCCACCTGCAAATCAGCACCTGAAAGAGCACAATCCTCTAGTGAGAAGTGAAGGAAGTGACCGAAAATGGGGCAAGAGCCAAGCAAATGGCATTGTTCCCTCTCTGACCTCTCCCCCACACACAGCACTACAACCAACGAAGAGGGCTTCTCACCCTGGCAAACACCTAAGGCTCTGCCCCTTACAATGTAACAGGCGTGCTGAGACAAAGGAACATGGGCCAAGGGAAAGAACAGATCAAAACTCCAGAAAAAGAACCAGTGACAAGAAGATAGACAAGCTATCAGATGCACAGTTCAAAACACTGGTAATCAGGACACTCAAAGAAATGGTTGAATATGGTCATAAAATAGAGGAAAAAGTGAAGGCTATACAAAGCAAAATAAAGGAAAATATACAGGGAACCAACAGTGAAGGGAAGAAAACTGGGATGCAAGTCAATAATTTGGAACCAAAGGGAGAAATAAACACCCAACTAGAACAGAATGAAGAAACAAGAATTCAAAAAAATGAGGAGAGGCTTAGGAACCTCCCAGACAACTTTAATCATTCCAACATCTGAATCATAGGGGTGCCAGAAGGAGAAGAGGAAGAGCAAGAAATTGAAAACTCATTTGAAAAACATAATGAAGGAAAACTTCCCCAATCTGGCCAAGGAAATAGACTTCTAAGAGGTCCAGGAAGCTCAGGGAGTCCCAAAGAAATTGGATCCAAGAAGAAACACACCAAGACACTTAATCATAATTAAGTTATCCAAGATTAAAGATAAGGAGAGAATCTTAAAAGCAGCAAGAGAAAAGAAGACAGTTACCTGCAAAGGTGTCCCCCTAAGATTATCAGCTGATTTCTCAAAAGAAAGCTTCCAGGCAATAAGGGGCTGGAAAGAAGTATTCAAAGTCATGCAGGGCAAGAACCTACTTCCAAGATCACTCTACACAGCAAAGCTATCATTTAGAATGGAAGCGCAGATAAAGTGCTCCCCGGGTAAAGTCAAGTTAAAAGAGTTCATCATCACCAAGCCCCTATTATATGAAATATTGAAGGGACTTAGCTAAGAAAATGAAGATCAAAAAACTATGAACAGTAAAATGACAACAAACTCATAACTATCAACAATTGAACCTAAATAACAAAAACAAAAACTAAGCAGGCAACTATAACAGGAACAAGATCACAGAAACGGAGATCACAAGGAGGGTTTATCAGTGGGTAGGGGGAGAATGCGGGAAAAGGTACAGGGAATAAGCAGCATAATCGGTAGGCACAAAATAGACAGGGGGAGGTTAAGAATAGTGTAGGAAATGGAGAAGCCAAAGATCTTATATGTACAACCCATGGACATGAACTTGGGGGGTGGGGAGGGATACAGGGGAGAAAAAGATTAGGACAACTGTAAATAGCATAATCAATAAAATCTACTTAAAAAGAAAAGTCAATTTTAAGAAAATAGTAGGGGTAGGAGGGGCAACTATAGCAAATAAAGAAAAAGAAGCACCATAAACTAATCAATCAATCAATGAAACAAAAAACCCACAAAACTTCCATTTGGCTTAAACACATTTGGTAAATCCATAACTAGAAGTGTCTCGTTTTGTCTTCTAAAAATTCTAAAATGCTAAAGGCAAAACAGAAATCAGACTAGCTGAAAACACAAGAAATCCTTGTTAGGTGCCATTCTTAATCTTGGGAGGCTTTTACATTTTGAACTTCCATGGAGGCGAAGATTTTCCATTTACGTACCGTTTCATTGTCATCTTCATCTTTTTCATCTTCCAAAAATCGGATGGCACTGACTCTGTTCACCGCGCGCTCATTCCAGGCCTCATCAGAGACGTCATTCACCAAGCTCTCCAGGGCACCACAGCGAGGCAGGTTCTCTGTCATGACAAAGACCACATCAGCGGGGCGTTCAGGTTCATGACAACTGCTGTGTAGTAATATAAAAATTAAAAACAAAAAAAGCATGGGGCAGAGCTGCCCTTTCTTTACAATGATGTATAATTCCATTTGAAATCATATAAAACATTTGCTAAATTAATATGCTTATTATTTCATTACAGAATGGCAATAATTCAGAGTCCTTTTTCACAATTCTTTTCTATACACTAACTCCAAAAACTTTCTCATGAGAGTCATGAGGCTACACGTTGGATATTAGTACTTGCCTTAGTAACACATTCTAGCACATTTTTCTCTTGGGGGTCTTAAAAGCTCATCTAACAAGGGTGAGATTGGCAAGGTGGCTCTGGGGGCCTTCCTTTGAGGGGCCGCCCATTCTCCCAGGGCACCCTAGTTCTCTTCCATCAAAATCAGCTCTCAGCAAAGGATTTATAGTATCAATTTGATGTTAGTGTGCATATTTTTTAAAACTACACATAATTGACAAAACAAAGGCAAAATGACTCAAAACAACTCACTAGCCTAAAACACTTTGCCAGTGGTGTTCTATACTAATCTCCAAACCATCAATTTGAATATTAAGTGACTGTTTTTCTATTTTAAGAGTATTTGTATTTTCATCCTTAGTTATCATACAAAACCAAGAGAGTGTTTAAGGAATTTCAGGCATGATAAATAGGTGTGAGTGGTACTTTTCCTGTAAAGATGCAGGGGAACCTTCCTAGGGGAGACCCAAAGTGACCACACCTGGACTGGCTCTAGGGGCAGAACTGGACAACATACAGTCAGGTGTGAGAGTTAGCGGTCTTACAGAGATAGTAACTCATAATAATTCTTGTGGCCAAATGAATATGGTCCTTAAATTCACCTTGGCAAGTCGGTTCGGAAGGCATCTGGGGAAGTAAGACACAGGTTAAAACCTTCTCTCCTGTGGTGTGATCTGTGTCTGTCTGGAACGTGAGCAGGGGCTGGGACTGGTTGTCAGACAACCACAGAGCCTTCAACTTCAAGGCCGTCAGAGACAAGGGCAGATGCAACAACCTAATTTAAAACAAAAGAAGACGAAGGGGATCTCAAATGTTGTAATCAAATCAATTTCTGTCAATAAAAACAGGGAAAAAAATGAAAAACAACCTTCTGGGATCGGGCTCAATATTGAAATAGATGGTGTGTTTGTAATAAGAGACTGATTTACTCTTTGCAGGTAGACTCTTCATTAGGTGACTGTGCTTCCCCTTCTCACCAACACCTCTAGGCCATAGGGCAAAAATGAGGAAATTACAGAACACATTTTTCAGTCCTGTGCTAGGAGCTTTCAATTTAAAGAGAAAGACAAAGTCAGTGTAATTGTGAAAGTGGAGTTCTCATGTAGTCCATGGCAACATGGTCGCCGACAGAGCCGGCAGAGCCTGCGGATTACCTGTTCGCAGTAGCACCTGGCAAATCTGGACAGGAGGAAGGAGATGCATGAGGTGCTGAAGAATTTAAGTTGCATTTAAAATAAAAACTAAAAAATTTTTTTCATGGACTCCATTTGCTTTCTCTAGGGAGATTATTTTAGGTATTCCATCTTAAACGTTTATCTTTCAGTTTCTAGAAGCTCCCACTTCTCAGACTCCTGGGTGATAATTAATAAACACATCAGATGGTTTCTGTTTCAAATGAGAGAGTATATAAAAAGCACTTTAAAAGTTTTAATGTGACACCTAAAAATTAGTTTCATATTTATAAATATGTTTTCACAAATATTTCACAGCTTGTCTGCAACTAGTTAGATCTATTCAGTAAAGACAGCCACCAGAAACCACTTCTTTGGTACTGCCAAAGATAACTTTCATGCAGTCGTCCCCAACCAGGCATGATTTTGCCCCGAGGGGACATACAGCAACAACTGTAGACATTCTGGGGGGGTGCTATGGCGTCTGGTTTGTAGAGGCCAGGGGATGTTGCTAAACATCCTACCATGGACAGGGCAGGCCCCATATCACGGACTTATCGGACCCCAAATGCTGACAGTGCCAAGGATGAAAATGATGCTTTAGTAAAAACCAACACTTTATACAAATCTACTAATTCACTCTGAAAACAACTAGACAAGGATATATTTGATAAAGTATTTTCACTCTAAGAATGGCTCCCTGTATTGCACTATGAATCAGTCTTAGCAGTGACTTCATAAGCTAGCTAATAAAAAGCTATTCACATTCTGTTAACTACTATATGAGGCATATTTTCTTAAAAGAAATCTCTAGCCCATTAATCCCATAAAGAATGATAGGACAACATGTATTCCTGGGGTTCCTTCTTTTTTAAAGCTGTACACCTATTTCCAGTTAATATATGGGGATATTGACCTATATGAGTACATCTTGCCAACAGATTAATATTACATTATCAGACATACGAAAGCATACCTTGCTTTACTGCACTTTTTGCTTCACTGTGCTTCACAGAGGTTGTATTTTTAATAAAATGAAGGCAAGACCCTACACTAGCAAAAAAATTATGACTCACTTTATTGCAATATCAATTTCATTGAGGTGGTCTGCAACCGAACCCACAATTATCCCCAGGGCCTGTCTGTATACCAGTTTCAGTTGAGTTATAGGGAATAAACTATAGCTCTCTGTACAGATATGAAAAGACATGTCCTCCAATATTATAAAACTAATCTAAGGAAAATGTAAGCACAAACTGGTTAAGCTACTTTAACAAATGAAGTAAAGAATTCTCAGAGTTCATAGAGAATAATAGCAAATGCACTATCAATAAACCTTTCATAAGAACAATTAATACATTTTGCAAGATTTCCAGTGTAAGAAATTATGAAGATGAGAAAATACTTTCCTTTCCTAACAATGAGTCCAATCAAGACAGATCCATCCTCCACACATGCATTGGGTGGAAAGTACAGTGGAATTGTATCTTACGTGGGACTTAGGTTTGAAGTCAATGTATCCATGAGAACTGCATATGTTAAAACATCCTTGAAAAGTCACTACATATTACATGTTACAGTAGTCACTAATAAGCACCAAACTGGGTGAGAAATACATATTTTTAAATTCTAGAATCAACCCAGTGCAGTGAAATACATGCTCAGACCATGACAAGGATGCCCTGGGGCATTGGAAAGGACAGGAGATTCCCAACTCCCTTTCTCCTGATTCTGAGGTACTGGGTCTTCAAGGAGGGCAGAAAGCGAAACTGCTCACGCTTATGCAACAAATTACTTCTCCCTCTGCCCAAAGGCCGTCATACATACACTCAAAGGGCAAGGAGGTTAAGGATATAAGACATGTATTTGCCAGGCACTGTCACAGTGATTTTTAAAAAGAACACTAATACACTATGAAAGCTTAAAATACATTAAACTCATCTTCATTTTATTGGACAAAAGGATGATTTCTTTGAAAGTATGTTCCTATTTCTTTTTAAAAAGGAGTTAAGCTACTATCTTCCAGAATGTTTAGAGTTTCAAGGTGGGCAAGAAACCTATAGTCAGCATCTCTACCCTTCTAAATCATGACAACATAAAAAAACTGAGATTTTAAAGCTGACACAAAACACAGATATTCGAACACAGTCATTGTACCTTCTCAGATTAACAACAGGCTTCATGGCTAAATGCTAAGGCAAAGGTATAAATAAAAGGACAAACCGAGAGCATCGATAATAAATGACAGCTTCGAAGGATGACACAATCATATGATAACAGCTAGAAGAGGTTATTGGACTATATAACAACAGATCTAATGCACATATTCAAATAAGCCATGAGAGATTAATTTGTCTAAAATGCCAGTTTCTGCAAGAATAAAGTGCCAGCTTGACATGGCTGCTGCTGACCAAGTCCACACAACACATGAGCCTGTTCACAAGTGAGCAGAGGTGTCCTGTGATGTCAAAGAGAAAAAGACGCTTCTTCCTGCCCTGTCTGCACACATACTGTGTGGGCTGAGCTACCCTCTCACTGTCTGTGGTCTTAGGAAAAACACACACATACTCCTCTGTTTCTCTTTGGAGAACTACCCCAGACACAAGTGGAAAATAGAGAGAGATTATACATCCCTGACAAGTTCATAATACATTTTTGGTTTTTTCTGGCATCTTCTGTACACTACAGAACCAACACAATAAACCACAGATCTATTTACACACATCTCCGTGTTCTATTTAGGACCATGTGCCCCCCCTTCCCCAATTAAAAAGCCCAGGTTATTTACAGCAATGGTACCAAGGATGAAAGCAAATGAATAAGCAAACCATGGGCCTCTCATTTCCAGTTATACCCATGACCAACCTGACCTGAAGGGACCTTCCCCACCTCTGAAACATAACAGCAATTGCCTGTCAAATTTATTTAAGAGCTAAACAGGGTCTACTGATTAATGTAATACTAATTTTCCTGGTGGTTGCATACTTTTTCCAATTAAATGTTTCATGTTTGTTACCTCCTACTAGAACTTTTAGTTTTAAGTATAGTTTTCAAAAGTTTTCAGAAATGTTTAAAGGTTTATACAGAGAACATAATCAGGGAAAAAAAATTAAACAATACTAAAATATCTAAAGTCAAAGTCCCCTGTAACCCCAAGTCTCCACCTTTCCTCTAGTGGAACTACTATTAATATCTTGGTGTACTGCATAGATAAGATTTTTTTTTTAAAAAAAAACATGAACAAAAATAACAACACTATACACACTTGCTCCATTATTCCGAATCATGGGCCTCCTGGGTCACCACAGAGAACTATCTCATTCTTTAACTGCTTGGTATTTTACAATATAGCTATACTGTTGTGTTGTTTTGTCTTTTACTATTTTTTATTTTTTCCAGCTTTACAGAGTTATGATTGACATATAACATTGTAAGTTTAAGATTTATAACATGAGGATATGATACACTTGTATATTGTGAAATGATTACCACAGAAGGCTTAGTTAACACCTCCTCTACCTCACACAGTCACCTAATTTTATGTGTATGTGTGTGGTAAAAACACTTAAGATCTCCTCTCTTCGCAACTTTCAAATATATAATACAGTACTGTTAACTACAGTCACCTTGCTATACACTGGATTCCCAGAAATTATTCATTTATAACTGGAGGTTTGTACCCTTTGACCAACATCTCCCCCCTTCCCTCACAACCCCTCCCTAGCCCCTGGCAACCACATTCTACTCTCTCTTTCAATGAGTTCAATTTTTTAAAAAGATTTTATTTATTTATTTTTAAAGAGAGGGGAAGGGAGGGAGAAAGAGAGGGCAAGAAACACCAATGTTGGGTTGCCTCTCACACACTCTCCACTGGGGACCTGGCCTACAACCCAGACATGTGCCCTGACTGGGAATCGAACCAGCAACCTTTGGTTCACAGGCTGGCACTCAATTCACTGAGCCACACCAGCCAGGGCTCAATGAGTTCAATTATTTTTTAGATTCCATATGTAAGTAAGATCATACAATATTTGTCTTTCTCCATATATTTCATGCCCCCAAGGTCCATCCATGTTGTCATAAATGGCAAGATTTCCTTCTTTCTAATGGCTGAAAAAAATATTCCATTATATATATCGTATGTATGTATTATATATACATACACAAATACCCACCACATCTTCTATTGATAGATTCTTAGCCATGTCTTGGCTATTCTAAATAATACTGCAACAAATATGTGAGTCCCTATAGCTCTTTCATACCATGTTTTCATTTCCTTTGGATATGCAAGATCTGTTCAGAAAAAGTCCAACCATTGTTAATATAACGAGAAAGGTTTGCGCAACATCGATGTAACCTGGCAGCCAAGGAGAGTGGACTGGAATGCACATGATGAACAATGATGACTTCACTGTACTAGTCAGTGGGGGCGGTAGACGTCCCCCACTGAGTGTGCACGTGTACTGTGTGGCCATCACATTCAAAATGACTGAGCAAATAGAGCAACAAATCTGCATCAAATTTTGCATTAAGCTTTAACATTCCTCCACGAAAACTATTCAGATGATTCAGAAGGTGGCGGCTGTGGGCAACTGGTAATTGACAGCTTTATCACAACACGCCTGCTCATGCATTACATCTTCTGCAGTTTTTTGGCAAAACATCAAATCAATGAAGTGACTCAGCTCCACTACGGCCCATATTTGGTGTTCTGTGACTTCTGTCTTTTCCCAGAACTAAAATCATCTTTGAAAGGGAAGAGATTTCAGACCATCGATGAGTTTCAGGAAAATACGATGGGGCAACTGGTGGCGACCAAGAGAACTGTGTGAGGTCCCAAGGTGCCTCCTTTGAAGGGGACTGAAGCCTATGTACAATGCTTCTCGTATCTTCTTCAATAAATGTCTATTTTTCGTATTACATGGCTGGATAACTTCTGGACAGATCTCATATACCCAGAAGTGAAACAGCTGGATCTTATGGTACTTCTAATTTTAACTTCTTGAGGAACCTCCATACAGTTTTTTATAATGGCTATACCAGTTCACATTCCAAGCTAAGCATGCCTAAGGGATCCCTTTTCTCCACATCCTTGGTATTTCTTGTCTTTTTCATAATAGCCATTCCAACAACTATAAGGTGATATCTTTTAATATTTTTAAGTTAACTTTTTATATTATAATATTCAAAGGTGTAAACTATTTCCCCATTGATAGCCATGTTTCTAGTATTTGGCGTTAATAACACTGCAAGGAAGATCCTCAAAAACCCAATTTTGTGTATTTGGCAGATATTCCTACGGGAAAGGGTCTAAGAAACAAAGAAATGTATATTCTGCATCTGTGAGTAGCTGACAATGAGATACCTCCTCCATTACTGTACCAGAAATTTGATACTTTGTTTCCAAGTGGTAGTTTATAGTTATTCTTCCTGTAACTTATTGCATCAAATTTATCAAAGTTTTTAGAAACTAAGGTGTAGTTTCTAATATACTCATATTTTATAAGCTTCAGAGAAGAGGCAGAAACTTCTCTCATACTCGGTTTGATTTCTCATGGTGTGAGGGACATTTCTACAAGCTGAAAAGCTGACATGGTAGTCATTGTTTTTTATTAGTTTCTATACTGATACTTTAAAATAGGTAGTAATTAAATATTTTAATAGGCTTAAAATTTGGTTATTAATCTATATATACATGGACACACTTAACTGACTCAGATGACACCTATGTAACTCGACTTTTTAATTGGCTTTTCTCCACCCCAGCTCAAGCTTAATAAAAATTTAACTTTCCCTTCTTCCGAGAACTGGAGAATGGAACCTTCACTTAGGAGAAAATCAGTTTTTAGACTGTGAGCCATACCTTTCCACCCAAGAACTAGTGGTGCAAATTCATGCTCATCAGTAGGACAAGAACCAGAGGAGGCTGGGAGTCACTGAGTTTCTACTGGGAGGTGAGAGGTCAGGCAACCACCCTCTCAAGCTATAAATTACATGTTAGGTTTAAGTCCAACAGAAATGCAACATTCGACTCAAATTAATCCAGAGTTTTCAGACACCAGTTATTGGTCTTAAGAATCTATCAAGATGTCCTAAAAGCACTAACTTTAAAAGAGTGAGCACTCCTTGAGGCCATAACTCATCTCCAGATTCCTGCTGAGCGCACGGTTTACTCAGCACTGCTGTCTATAATCCATTCGCAAGAATGAAAAATGGCGGGTAAGCCTGACCTAAGTGACCAGCTACTAAGCTGTTAGGACACAATCCCCTAAACACTCTTGATTATCTTCCCCTGCTTCTGCACTTCCTCTCCTATCTAACTATATCATGCTCAAAAGCGGTTTGTAATCCCTCTTGGAAATGCCACCTGAGACACAAAGCATTTCAAAGAGGCCTGCTATTCTTGCTGCAAAACTACCATTTTTAACATTTCCCCAGGTATCTACTACGTGCCAGATGCTGTGAAGAGACATGATACACCCGCACATAAACCGTAACATCTAACTTCAGGTTCAGGAAGGTTACATACATAGAAACAGGCAACTAACAGTGCCATGTTAGAGGTAATTTAAAAATGCAGATTCAGAGAAATGAATACTTTCTGGAGAAAATAAAAGCATAGTGAAGAAGAATAGAAGTAGAGAAATAGAAAAGAGGGTCCCAGCTATAAAGAATAGTTGGTGTAGGCTCAGGGAAAGAAAGTGCATATGACATTTAAGGTGATTAAATTAGTTCACACTGGCTAAAACAAATCAATATTCTATAAAGGTGATGAGAATATATAATCCAGAAACTGGTGAAGAGTCAAACGTCACCTCTGACCCCAGAACTTGAGAAATGTCGCTGCTATGATCTTGAAGATATCAGTCTAGTGGCTTGTCACTTTTTTTGGATTATGAGTCACTTAGCAATTCTGACATTAGTTGTGGATCCTCTCACCAGGAAAGTGTCCTTGAATGCAACCTTGTTTACAATTTCAGAGGGTCTAGAGTCACCAGCAGAGCATCTCAAGACCCTTGATTCAAAGCTGTTCAAGCTCATTCATCAGATGAGGAAACTGTGAGGCCCGTGACGACTTACAGAAACTGGGGTGAAACCTACGTCTCTCAGTTCATGGGCAATGCTCTTCCCCCTGACATCACTGTACTGCTGCTCTGGGAAGCATGTCTATGGAAGCATCCACTTAAAACTGTGAAGTGCCCCATGCTCAGCCTCTCCCTGACCTTCTCTATGCCAGGGGCTCAGTCACTGCAGCACCGAGACTGAAAAGTTCTTGGGTGCGGGTTGTTTGACTCACTGGTATGTAGTCTATCAGACAGAGCAAAGCTGCATGGCAAAGGTTGAGATATGCGAACATTTGTTTCTTTCTCTCAGGCAAAGCAGACAGAATATGCTTACCTGTTCCCTGCCACATCCAGGACGTGAAGCTCTGTGGCCTGTGACATCTCAGCAGGTATCCGAGTTAGTCTGTTGTCACGCACGCAGAACACAGTGAGGCTGCAGCACCCACCGATCTGCAACAGGGAAGAAAACATAACTTGTTTCCAGGTTTTGGGGGGAGAAATGGCGGTGGGCCTGTTTATCAAATGGCATGAAAGTGATGCATAAAATTATGCCACATGATTTTAAGTCTCAGCGATGATCAACTATGATAAATTTAAATCATACAAAACACTGAGTAGTCCAATATGCTTATAAAAATCTCTGTAAAACATTAAATACACATGTTCTAAATTAAATCAAGAAAATAAACAATACAGTTCAAAAACTTCATTCTGGAAAGGAGTTATTTTCCACTGCTATAATGCAACTACATCTTGAAATACATTAACCAAGCACACAGGTCCAGACAAGTGTTATTTGGTCATACGGAGGTTTAAGAACTCTAGGTTTCAAAAGTTAGGCCAAAGATCAAAAACCACACCCATGAAGACCTGTCCATTACATTAACTTCACTGTTCTCAGTGTTTCTGTCTATTAAAAAGTTGGGGGGGGAGAGCTCACCTGATACAGTACATTAATTTACACCATACAACTTTTAGTAACTTCCATTCACAACTTAATTTGGTAAATTCACTTTCCTTTGACCAATGCAAAATCAACAGAATTTTAACCACTAGTGAACCTGGTGAATGCATACAGCAATCCCCTCAGATATGACATGCTGGTAAAAGCATATGTTAATATCTACATCCACACCAAATTTGATTATCATTTCTTGGTTGGTTTTTTTTAAGCAAGTAACTCAAAAGTAACTGAGCTTCATATAAATCTGGTCTTTAACAAAAAACATAAACACAAAAGAATTCAATGATTCTCTTGAACAATTTGGCTGTGGTTTCCACAGCCAGGCAAGCTGCACCACATGGGTGAAAAAATAACTCGATCCCAGACACAACATTCTGCAGGACTCCATACAGTACCACGTCCTTCCTGTGCTTGCCATCCTAAGAGCAACTGCTAGAAAAGGCTCATGAAGGGACCTATTGATGTCTTTGTGACATATGGAAAAACACTCCACAGCCTTCCACTTGATGAGGGGCAAAAGGCTTGATGGAATCTTCAACGATGTCTGAATATAGCTTCTGACCTTTTCTATTTATGTATCTGTTTAGTATATGTATATATCTTAAAAAGCAGAATGCATACCTATGAAATTGCTACACAATTTCCTTCTTGCAAAATCTTACTACATCTTCCTTTTGGAGTTAAGGTAAAGATTTTGAAATAATATTTTTAACCATAGTATTTAACCATATGGATACAGAAAAAAAGTAAACATAAGAAAACACAGACTAACATTCTTCTCTTATCACCTGGAGAATACCCAGATATGTAGAAAGACTTTTGAATCGTCTCCTTCATTTCTCAGTATTGACATTCCCCATCCCAGGAAAACTGACTTATTCACTGTCCTATAACATTCCTCTTACATTTTTGGTTTAGCTCTTTCTTATAGAAATGCCCTTCTTTTTTGTCTTTCTAAATCTTACCAATCACCCAAAATTAGCTACACATCCTCTACTTCATGGAGTCTTTTCGGAACCCCTTGGTCCACACTGACACATGGATCTCCACACTTCTTCCACAATCATGGTATACACAGACCCTCTTGACAGATCCATTGACTGAGCTACTGTTTAATTTGCACATTTATATATAATCAGGGTGCTTGGTGAGTACAGTACACCCATCCTATCTACTCCCCTGTGAAGGCCATCTACCTACCAACATTTCTCATTTATGTATGTTTATATGTTTATTTATTTACTTGCTAGTGAAGGCTCCTACTTAAAGTTATTATCTGAAGCTATATGTAGCATTTTTTTTCCCTAGAAAGAATCACTTAAGTGACCTCTCTTATATTTTATAAATACAGGGCCCTAATATTGTGTCCTAAAAGGATCTTTTGTGGGGCTAGTCATTCTTCCCTCCCTTGACAAAAGCAATCGTCAAGTTTTCCTGGGTGTCCAAGAATATTATAGAAGGAAAGAAATGAAAACATTGACTCCTTTGAGAATTGATGCGATTAGATTCTCTCTGATAAATTTAAATGACCTCAACAAAAACCTACTCATGGGCAGGAATATGCAAGGTCTTCATGGAGAAGACTCCTGAACTGCTTCCTGTGGAGGGGTATCTGCACTAGAGTCTGGGCTCAGAAGGGGACTGTGAGCCATAAGGGAGGCCCTGCAGGTCAGCATGTGGCTGAGGCGGGATACCCCTCAGCCCTACCATCATCCTTCAGGGAGGCAACGCAGACAGTGTCAGTTATTCTCATACATGACACTCCTGATGTCATGTATGAGACATCAGGACAACTTCCAGGACAGTTTCCAGGACAGTAAGCTCCTGGAAGTTGTATAGAAACAAGACTACATTATGATTTTGAGCACTCTGTCATGGAGTTATCCACTGCCCCACTACCTGTAGGATATGTTTCGGGGCCCTCTTACTATTCCGCACGAACATTTTCAATTTGTATTATGTATATATACTATATATTTTTAAAAAGGTTAATTAACTAATTAAACTGCATCAGAAAGGGCTCTAAAAGTTGTTGGAGCAATAAAAGCTCTGGATAAGTGATGATTCTTTAAGTCTTTGGGGGGAAATAATGTGATTAACTCCCACTGGAGTGTGTGAGCTGCCTACTGTGTTTACAGTCTCATTTTTTTCTTTTGCCTTTCTCTCTCTGATCTCACACTCATTTGTGACGTAAAAGGGTAGAAAGCAATTGTATTCAAGAACCTCCAAGGCTCTCTGGGTTGTCAAAGCCTGGCAGAGTGACCTCTGATCTCTATTGTCTATGGTTTTTGGAAAACAATGCCAACAAAGAGCAAGTGTTGTTACTTGCCAAGGGCACACATCACACAAACAGCCCTCTTTCCAAATCAGCCAAGAAGGGATGGCACAAACCTTTGGCTTTTAGAAGAGATTATTAGGCAGTCAAAATCATAACTCAAAAGATGAAGTTCTTTACACATGGCAGAAGAAAGCGGTGCAATGGAAGGAGTTCGTGCTTTGAGATCACACACACCTGGATGAGAATTTAGGCTTGACCATGTTCTGTGGGTTTGAATATATCACTTTAACCAAAGATAACAATAAGGATTAAATTACATGAAACCACAAATATATTGGGTTGGCCAAAAAATTAAATTTTTTTTTTCTGTAAGATGGCTCTAGTAGTGCTTAGCTGTCTCTAACTTCATTCAAAACAATTTTGTTAGACTGTATTGTGACAGCTGTCATATCAGTGTGCATAAAAAAAATTTATCAAAATTGGTGAATTTTTATGCAGCCATTTTAATATTGAAGATGGAAGAAGATACGCGATATTTTCGGCGTATTATGCTTATTTCAAAATACACAACCAAAATGCAAAACAAAATTTTGTGCTGTGTATAGAGAAGGTGCCGTGACTAATCAAACACGTCAAAAGTGTTTTGTGAAGTTTTTTGGTACTACTGACATTCTGACCACATCATTCTTTGCTGTGGGGCTGTCTCATGCAGTGGAAGATGTTTGGCAGCTCCCCTGGCCTCTACCCACTAGAAGCCAATAGTGGGAGATACCTGACATACTCATATATCCAAATCAATAAAATTATTGGTGAAAATGAAAAATGTCTTTATTTTACAGAAAAAAACACACGGACTTTTTGGCCAGCCCAATAATTTAGCGTCCATCATACAACTGGTCTATTGTTGCCAAATGAATGTGGTAGCTATTGTTTGAAAGAAGTGAAAATTCCATATCTAAATGAAAAGTTCAGTCACCACCTGAGTAGCTACAGACTGCTATGGTAGAGTGGAGCTGATGCTGTGAGCTCTTCCCTGAAGGCATCTGAACTCTTTAAAACACTGTCTCCCATTACAATCCATCCCCCTTCTGCGCCCTCTCCCTTGCAATTACCACTCTGTTGTCCATGAGTCCTTTTTTTCCTCAATCTCTCCATTCCCTAACCTGCCCCCCGCCCCCAGAACAGTCTGCCTGCTCACTATCTATGAGCACTATCTTGGTTTTGCTCGTTATTTCAGTTTGTTCACTAGATTCCACTTGAGTAAAAAAATATGTTTTTTGTCTTTCTCTGACTGGCTTATTTCTCTTAGCCTAATGTTCTCCAGGTCCATCCATGCTGCCCACAAAGGGTAAAATTTTCTTTTTTTACAGCCAACTGGTATTTCATTGTGTAAATGTCCCACAGTTGTTTTATCGACTCATCTACTGATGGACACTTGGCTTGCTTAAAAAATAAATTCTAAAAAAAACACTGGGGGCAGGGGGGAACCTTATGGGAAAAATAATCTAAGTGTGAGATAGGAGAAGTACACAAATTTCTAAAGGCAAAAGAAAGTAAGTGCCAAAGTAGTAATCCAAGTATCAGCCTGGTAAAAGATGGAAAATCTATTCTGTTTAAGAAAGATTAAAAAAAATAAAGCGTATAAGGGAGTATTTGAAGGGATTCTCTCCATTTATTTGGTTATTTAAAATTCAGAGGCAGAAAATTAAACAAAGCTTATTTTATAGATTATATTATGGTGTATTCATTGTCACTTAAGTCATAATGCTATGTCATGCTCTATATAAAGTCAAAAATAAAAAAATAAAAAATACATACCAGACTGTCTCCCTGGCAATGTAGCACAACAATATTTTGTGTTAACACCAGCGAAGAGTTAATATGAGTTCAGTATTATACTATTTCTATCTTCACATGTATTTTCTCTTTCTCTTTTGGGTTCAAGAAGCAGAGTTTACAGGCTCCTTCAAGTGGCCATTAGGATAAAATGTCTCTATCACTTAAATTTCTGGGAATCAGAGTCACTGCTGAAATAACTTATTACCAGTAATGTAGGAAGCTGGTATTTTTAAACCTCCCTTAAACCACGTAATAGCACTTTCCCAGGATCCAAGGGGTTGGACTTGGGTTCTCTGAGAATTACAGAATATAGCTGAGAATCCCTGTTTAGCTGTTTTGTGTCTCTTAAGTCAAGATGATATTGTCCTT